TATAATTCCTGTAAAAATAATTATTATGTGAAACCAGCCATCATTAAATATACATAAATATACATAAATCTGGATAAATGATATGAAAATAATTGAAATCGTAATTTTCACGAAGAATTGCGGCGTTGTTGTCAAGGCATATTTGCATTTAATGATGACTGGACGTATGAGATAAGTAAATATTTAACTGCTGCCCTTGCTGAAACGAAAAAAATATGGTTAGTACATTATCATTAACTCCGAAAACATTAGAAGCTCGCAGCCGTCCAAATTACGAAACGAGTTTCTATCTAATTTCTTTTCATTTCTTCTCTAATTTCTCTTACTCGTTAAACTCTATAATATCTCTTGAAGAACCCATAATTTTAGCAACACGTATATTACGTATTTCATAGCACATCGCCGTTTACAAAAATAGCAACGCAATAATTTTCTCTTGACAGTATACTTTTTAAAAGAGAACTATATAGATTACTAAGTCAATGCTACTAAAACGTTATCTTATCAAAATAAAGTGCATCTCTTTCTCCTAAGCCTCGATACTTATAGATTGTAATACTGAAAGCATTAAATCAACCAAATCAGTTACAACAGACATACTTTTGAATCGATCTCTCTATGCAAAGTGAACCCGAGATTTATCCCGCAAGTTTCTTTGCAATGTGTTCTTTCCCATTGCGTAATTTGCAAACGACCGAAACGTTTCGTGTGACAGCTACAAATTTATTGTTACGTTAAAAAAACGTTTAAGCAATATTATCGCAAATGACAATCGAAAAATTAATACAGCTCAGACGCTGGCACGTTTTCGTCTTCCGATAGCAACACTCGTTATTCCGATCCAGATCCTATGAGGAATTTCAAGGCACCGAGAAGCTTGTATAAACTGCTTAAACTTTCTTCTATATCCGATTGAAATTATTATAAAAATCCACTTGTATTACTCTTAGAACAAAAGTAATCAAAGTTCTCAGAAGAGAATAATCCAAGTGCTTTATAAAAATACCGATTTTCCCATGCGAAATCTCTAATTATGTTCTTGTATTGTACAATTCCATACTACAACTTATTGTGATCCTCTAAGATATCATAATAAAGTTAACTTCGTTCTTTACATATTGCTGACAACAAAAATTTATATTTGAAAATTGACTTAATTATTTGAAAAATGTAAAAGAGGTTAAAAGTGATTTTTTTTTTGTATATTAAATTTAGTGCATTATGTATTGACATAAGAACAATAGGGAAATATGATTTCAAGAGAATAATGCATTTTTTTTTTACGACTACAATACAAATCTGATTATTTATAAATATGCATGTAAATGACGCAAAATAATTGTTCAGTTAACATTACTGTGAAAGAAATAATGCTAGAAATGTAAGCAACCATCAGTGAAAAATAAAATAATAAAACAGCTCGAGAATTTCGTATCGTCAATGAATTTGTTTTTATGTCCATACATTCAATATAAACTCTGTGGTAGCATTAGAATCAAATCTTTTTGTCTGAAATCGGGAAAGACTCTGGGAAACTGTTCTGTGGACTAATGCTACCTCGGGCTTTGGTGCGTCCCATTTCTTTTTTTTTTTTTCTTCCATATTAAATGAATTTACGTGAAATTTCTCAAATTGGTTTTGACTTTGGGGAAAAGTTAATCTTTTGAAGTAACGAGGATTACGAGTAATATACAAATACCGAGTTCGTTCATTCTCATGACTCTGCTTTGGAGTAAAGAATGCGGCGCGCGAGGGTGTGCCAACTGTGCCACGTAGTGTAGGTGGGAATGGTAGATGACATCATCCATGCCACCAACCAGCTTCAGAACCAAGCCACTCCACAAACGGAACCTGTCCTGCCTGCCTCCTGACTGAAGTGGAGAGTTCAGAACACATAAGTATATAAGGAACCGTCACATACTAAGATTTTATTCTCTACATCTCCCATCTTAGAGCTACAAAAATTTTTCGATTTTTAGCGAGCAAAAATCTACTGTAGTAGAGAATTATTATTAGAGAAATATCTCCTGGTATGTGTTCTTCAGCCGTTATAATTTTAGGAATTTGTATTATCTTACAAGTGGAACAAAATAATAACATACCTATGAAACCTGAAAGAAATCGATTAATTATCGCTGCAAACATAAACTTGATTAAACATTACTAAACGTATCATTTCCTATCTACGGTTAAAAACGCTTTGTATCTATTTTGTAAATTCTCATTCTTATGCCATCGCGCATTGCGAAGCTTCACTTAATAAGAGGACGTAATTCTTGGAGAAATTAATGAAATAATATAATAGTATGTAAACATAGGAGCAGGTGCCGAATATATTCAGCCCATGCGCAATTAATCGCGAATATATTACATTTACATGCTGCTTCATATATTCTTCAAGCAGCATTTATGGATCAATTCATTATAAATGAACGACATCTGCCTGGAATAAAAGGAGAGAAAGGATTTATTGGATGGGGTCCTCCTAGAAGGAGGTGCAGTTTGATGACGGTGCAGTTTCTTGAAATGCAAATAATTTAGGTACATCTTTATATACAGATATAAATTATGATTAATAAATAAACTTTAATTATGATTAACGTATTAGAGCAAAAGAATGTGATATATATTCTCAAATCTATAAAAATTAATATATGTAATTATTATCTTGAAGAATATAAATTTTAAAAACTAATGTAAAAAAATATTAAAACAAAAAGATAATATAAAGCTCATTGAGTTGAATACATTAATCTAACATCTGCATTAGTGAAAGTATTTAGATCAAATATATACATAAATAATCCATTATTTTAATATAAAATTATTTGAAACTAATATCATAAGAGATTATGTACCTAAATTCTCTACATTTGTTAGATATACATATATTAGATAAAAAATCTCAGAGTGGAATAATATGTCTCTAGAATATTTATCTTACTTGTATCAAATGTTGAAAATATTTATATGAGTTTTTATAAATTATTTATAAGTATTTATAAATATTTTATAAGTTAATTATTCGTTTAATTATTTGTATTATGGTGCGTGTCCTGCAAAAATAATTTTTGCATTGCAATACAATGCGCTTTCAGGTGTTAATAAAATAAAAATACCTGTTCTCGTTTGGCTGTTTTTTCCTCTTTTTCCCTCTTTCGCACTTCCAGAAGATATTCGTTGAAAAGGCTTTCTCGTTCGCGCATCTTTTCTACATTCTTAAATCGTTCATCCCTTCCGTGTTTCTGAGCAAAATCACTAAACGACGATCTAAACAGCACAGAAAAGATGATAAGATACCATTTTCTGCGCAAATATCGAAAGAAGCGTACTTATGTACGTACTTTCCATGAAGTCCAGCTTCCTCCAAGAGCTTCTGGAATTGCTCCTTCCGTTCTTTCATCTTATTCCTCTTTTCCCGCCTCTCTTCTTCCGCTCTCTCCTTCACGTACTTCTCGAAGACCTGTTTCCTTTCCTTTGACGTTAGAAGTAAGTAGCGTGGATCGAATACTATTTTATGAAGTTCTTTCTCCCAAGTACTAAATGCAGATACCTAAAAACACAGCAATCTAGTTATATAACAAAATTCGTTGTAATATATATGCTATACAAAACTATAATGTATAACAATTTACATCTTTCTCCGCTAGCATGTCTCTAAACGACTTGATCCTAGTTTCCAACGGAACTATCGCCCTTTCCCTGGCCGCTCTTACTTCCGCTTCTATCGCAGCTTCCTTGCCGATGTCAATGGTCTTCTTTCCTTCCTTCTCCTCCTCTTCCTTCATGGGTGTGCCTAAAAAGATAATATAGAATTAGTACAAAAGAGTGCAAATCGTGCTTTACGCTTTACTATAAAGCGACAGGTACTTTTCGTCTCCTCGACTTTCATTTTCTTGGCTGGTGTTGGTTGATCGTCGTCGCTGCTTTCACTGGTGTCCGACTGACGTGCTGGTTTCGTAACACCAACCGCATCCGGCGGTGTTGACACCATCTTGTCCACGTCTTGACGGCCAATAAGATCATCTGGCCTTTCCCATACCGATATCCGCGAAGAAGGATTGTAGAAAAATACCCGTCCATCTCCCGTCCAAACGACACACCTTTGTGTACAATATAAACATGTTTACTGGTTCACGTGAATTTTCATTATAGCTATATCAAATAAGCGTCACCACACATACCATGGAGTTCCAGGCACTGGTGTACTAGAAATTGGTCTAGACTTGTCCTGAGGTTTTGCAGGTTCTTTTGCAATATTTTCTTCCTTTTTCGGTTTAGTGATATCTGCGTCTTTTGTACTATCTTTGGTTTCGTGGACGTTCTCTTGCGGCTTTTCTTGTTTAGGTTCAACCGCGGTGTTGTTACTAGTAACGGCAGTGACGGTGACGGCGGTACTGGCGGAGACAACACTTGCTTCCTCATTTTTCTGTCGCAATGCTAACTTCGCATCTAACAAAACATTGAGCGCATTATAAAATTTGAAACTTGTGTCGGAACATTATTAGATTTTATATTACGAGATTTAAAGATCTGTGATATCTATATTAGTCCTTCCTCACCATCGAAATGTAGTTGTCTCAAGTATTACGAATCTTTAGCACAAACCGCAATAACATATTTACGAATCACATATACTTATGCTGAAGAAAAAAAAATATACATGATAAACAGAGATTCAATTAAGAAATTACATACTTTCTAGATCCTTTAAGGCTTGCGGCTTCTCCCACACTGATTCCCCAGCTTTACTGTTGTAATAGTAGAGTCTGCCATCTGGTGCACGATGTTCCGTCCAAACCATAGCAGCAGCTACTAATTCAGAATCAAGTTGCGCAAGTATAGCGGGATCTTCAGCTGGCGCTTGGGGTGCCATCACGCCGTGGGGCATTTGCGGCATTCCTAAAGAGTACAAGTGCACATTATTAGTTCGAAATTATAAAAATACTTCTCGATATTGGTCAGATATTTCTTCTTCGCTTACCCCAATTTGCTTGCGGTGGTCCGTAACCGCCAAAAGGTTGAAAACCCGGCGGCGGCATTCCAAAAGGCGCTGCTCCGAATTGCGTAGCGATCGGGCCTCCAAACTGATTCGGCATTCTATGTTGCATAGGAATCATATTTGGCGGCGGTTGCATCATATTTGTATTTACAGCCGGTGTATTTATTGGTGGTGTATTGGTAACTGTCGTGGGTGCTGTACCTAATATTTCAACGTTACTTTAATGACGACATTTTGGACAGATTCTTCATAAACATTACAAATTGCTAAATGCCTCTAAAACATTTTGTACACAATGCAAGATAATTGTAAGCTGATATAAGAAAAATATTTCAAAAATTATATAGAGATTAAAATACTTCGAAGCGCACCGTTAGATTGATTTGTTTCAGATGCTTGGTTACTGCCATCTGATGTATCATTCAATGTAGGAGGTGGTCCAGTGCCAGGAGGTGCTGTACTTAATTGATTAATAGCATCCGTGTTATTCGAAGACGATTGCTCGCCGGATTGAGAAATTCTATTTTCACTAATCTGAGTCGGTGTACTACTTGACGAAGTAGGTGTGCTGGAACGTGCCGCCGCTTGTTTCGACGCTCCATGTACTAACTGTTCCAACTGCCAAATAAAATTTTATTAAGAATTAATCAGAATCAAAATAAATCTTATACAAAAAATCAGGATTGAAATCATAAAAAAAAAAACTCCATCCATTAATTTATATATCTTTTTATATAACAACGAAACAAGTTTTATCCGCATTAGTTATCCATTGACTACAACTTAATACGATAATGTTTAATCTTTTTTGAATATTTTTAGCTTCAGATTTTCAATTATTAATGTAGATGAACCTACCAGTGTCTCTTTGTTATTAACAATTGTCAGTTCTCTGACAGTACCCTATTTATAGTTCATTTCTCTTCGGCATTTTATCCCGCGTAGACATGTCTTATGAGACTAATAATGGCAAAACCAGAAAAAAGAAAAAAAGTAAATGTGATGTTGATATAAGAAACTTATCCGGTCCATAAGACGTGGTTAAAGTGTGCCAATAATTACAATAATAAAAAAAACAAAGTATTAAAAAAGTGTTAAAAAAATATACACTTGTGGTTATTTATGGTGGTATATCCAGACTTATCCAGACTTATAAATTTACCTGATCCTGTACCATGACCTTCACATTTGGTCCCTCCGGTTTAGTCCATGTAGTATCTCTCGTCCGAATATTGTAATAATATGACTTGCCATCAGCTGCTTTTGTCTCTACCCACACTTCTCCATTGAGATCTAGACCTGGAATGTTTGCTTGCTGCTGTGATTGTTGCTGAGGTGGCTGCTGTTGTCCTGGAATCTATAACAATACGTTTTATTTAAATGTACATCCTTCAACTTTTTGTTGAATATATGTTCCTTTCTCATTTCTACTTAACTTTAGATACTTTTGCAAGCGCTTATTTCAAGATTTGTTATCTAATTTTATGTAGATTATTTAAAAAATATTATAATAACTTTGCCTTCTGACATAAAGATAACACATAAGTATGACATAAATAAAAATTTGCTCTAATTAAATTAAAATATATTATAAAAACAAAAATATTCTAATGTAAGTAGAATAAGTATTTAAAAATTCTCCTTTGTTACATTTTCATATTCTTTATACATGAATAACAACTTACGCTATTCATATTAGGTGGTCCCATTCCAGGAGGAGGTCCATACGGACCTGGTCCTGTACCCATAGGACCATTCATCATGTGTGGTGGTGGCTAAAACAATAATTAGTTTATCAAATCATTGTATTAATTATTTAACTCTGATTCCAATTAACAAATTAAACTTAGAATCGCTAAGAGGAAAATTAAATAGTACACACCATTCCTGGAGGTCCCATTAAATTTGGAGGCCCCATGAGATTTGGTGGTCCCATAGGTCCCCAACTTGGATCGAAAGGCGGCGGTCCGCGAAATCTAGGCCCTGCCGGTCCGGGGGGACAATTTGGCCTAGGTGGGCCTTCAAAGGGAAACCCATTATTTGCCCCACGAAACATTGGTCCACGTGGCCCAAATCCTCTTCCTCTAAACCTTGGGGGTCCGCCACCTCTCATAGGGAAATCAAACCCACCTCTGCCACGACCCCTTAAATTATTTTTATATGTTTTGACTAAGATATCTCTTATCTTTATATCATGCCACTTAAGGGAAGAAACACCAGAAGTTTCCTTCGTATATTCCAAGTCTCATTGACTCTCAGTACTTTTGCTGCCACAAGAATCACCAATGGTTCTCTGTCACGATGTACTATTTTAATGAATTATTCGTTATATGTTACACGGATCATCAGTATTCTCATATTTATTTTGAGAAAAACAGTTTTCATTATATATGTATGTTTACGCAAGAAAATCCTTCTTTCACAATAAATATTGCTTCCAAATTCAACTTTGACATCTGAGTAATAAATTTGTATTTTACAGAACGGCAACAAAAGAGAGTATAAAAACAAAGTCTATTCAATATACGAATCTGATCTGCTGCTTGGAAGTACATTCTCCGTAATGTTTCTGTAAGGTATTGCAAACAATATCGCTTGCAGGTTTATCATAACATTAATTTCACATAAACATGTGAAGGCGCTTCTGTGTGAATCAGAATTGCATTACCCGCAAACAGGTCTAAAAATAAAGTCCGACATCGCGCGCACCGCTCATCGGGGTCTCATAGGAATATGATAATAACAGGGAATACTGATTGCATACACATCAGCTTGAAGTCAAGCAGAAACATTACGGGACGAGAGGGAAGACAAGGGGAGCGTGCATGGGGAGGGGGGGGGGAGATGTGTAGACACACGAATCTTGCAATTCTCATGCTAATAATCGCGAACGAGCGATAAGCAACGAGACGCGTTCTATACGAACCGAAAGCCGCCACGGCCACGCGGCACGAAATGCCTATAATCTTCCCCTTCATAACTATACTCTTCCGTTTCCTCCATGGCCTCGTCATTGTGCTCTTGTTCGTTGCTGGCGACGGGCTCGGCCGCAATCGCGGCCGGCTGTTCGCTGGCTGCTTCCATCGTGTAACGGTACGTAAAAAGAGATGCGAAAACCAGGCTAAAGTAGTAAACCCCTCACACGCCCATTTATTATCACTTTTCTCGCGGTTCTCGCTGAGAAAAACGCCGCAAACAAATTTTACTATTTTACGCGATGCGAGTAAACATATTGCTGCCAACAAGCGAGACGCGAATCTCCCTAAGCGCGCTGGCGTGGCAAGAGAGAGAAGCACTAGTTTCTTAAAGTCTACTTCAACAAACCTGCGTAATCGAATATAAAAAAATTGATCAATCACGTGTCCAATATAAAAACGCATCAACATTACGCTTTTTACATTATACATGTGATTAGTCAATTTTCCTGTATATTATGCAAATTTGCCTGCACTTTTCTTAATAAATGATTAATTGGTTAATTATTGCTGATTTGTTACATTACCGTGCACTTGGTTCATCGTATATCTTGTAATTTTTCTTTTTCTTTTTTTCTTCCCAATCCTTAATTATGTATCTATTTTATTTTGAGAATAAAAAATACAATTATCAACGATATATAATACTACGTCGTGAATCGTTCCAAGTCCCGAGTTGTCCTTGTGTATTCAATCTATACAACCTCGTGTAACCGGTTTCTGAAAAAGCCGCAGAAAAGGCGCGAAAAGCGCTTTGTGATGTGGCATGTGGTATGTCGTGTTATGTTGATACTATATATTGTGTATTTCTGTAGGCAGAACGATATATAAATCAACATTATACATAGGAAGTAAGAATTTTTAATTTCTATATATAGAATAACAAAAACAACTCTTAACAAACAATAACATCGTACAGAAGGTTAGGAAATTACAGTATGATATATGGAAATTATGCATAAATACCTGAAAAACTAATATATTTAAATATAATATCACATTAATATATCTATATAAATATCGAATAATTGTATCTCAGTAACTATTCTATTTTTGCAAATATTTTTTTTATATATTGAACAATATTTTACAATATTTTACAATAATGTAAAAGTATTATAGCACATTATTGTATTAAATTAAGCAGTACTTATCAATATGTAATTTATGCAATGGCTAAATATTTTTTTATTATATATAGAATATATTTTATCAACAATGGTACATGAAAAACTGGAAGTACAGGAATTTAAAAGGCAGGAAATACAATATGAAGATTTAACTAATGATTTTAATGATAAAATTGACTTTTCTAAGCAATTTTGTCATATATATTCAGTGAGATTGGCAGAACTGAAAGAGGTATTGATACCTCAAGTTATTAAAAAATGGGGTAAGTTTTATATAAAATGTTCTTTCAAGAAAATAATTCTACTGTAAGAATTAAAACTGTTGCAAAATTATGTATTAGAAAGTGACAAGTACTCATGATTTTGACTGATAATATTTATTAGAATTATAAATGTAGAAAACAAAAATTATCATTTATCTCATTTTATTTTCAATTATTTATTTTATTTTCAGGAAAAGTTAAGATACTGAAGTTAGCAGAGGTGGAAGATTTTGAAGGAGAACAATGCGTAATAATTGGCACACTCTATAAACATCAAAAGTGGAAACCATCAATATTACATGAGTTAAGCGAAGATCATCAGCTCACATTATCTGAACCAAAATCAAATTATTGCTCAGAAAAGGATCAACTTTTCTTAGAAGATGAAATGCTACGTATTAAATTAATAATAGAAGATGCAGACTTGAAGAATTATGTTACAGGTGTTGTGTGCGCTGTCCTAGGTTGCAAAGAAAAAGATGGCAGCTTTCTAGTAAGTGTGCCTTTTTAAGCATGCACGTACACGTATTTTGAACATATATATATTAGTAAGATTATATTACTATTTTATATTTAGATCAAGGATTGGTGCTTTCCTGGTTGTATCCCTAAAAGTTCACCAATACAGCGAAAATCTAAAGGAAAGCTGGTGTTTCTATCTGGACTCGATTTAGCAAATAGCTCAAAGAATTCACCATTGAATTCGTCATTGAATTATTTAACAGAATGGATATGTGGCATGGCGGGAAATACAGAGGTGCTAGAAGATGTCACTCGCATTGTTAGAGTTATTATTGCTGGTATAGGGTTCTTCAATGTATTTTTGATCCTGCAATTATAAAACGACTATTTTTCATATTTTAATATTTTATATTAGGTAATTCTGTTAAAACTGTCACCAAGACGAACACTCTGATGGGACATGCTGAAGGAAAAGCGCAGGACGCCGCGATAACGAAAGAAATTGGTACAGCAACAACGCTTATGGACGCATTTCTCGCCGAAATAGCGAAATTTTGTTGCATCATTTTAATGCCAGGTCAGCACGATCCCACCAATGCGATGCTACCTCAGAGACCGCTACATGCGTGTATACTACCACTGACGGCCAGGTATTGTGCAAATTACATACCGATTCTAATTATGTAAACTATATTTTGATCTTGATGGTTAAGGCAAGAGAATGTCTTTAAAGTTAATTGAAACCATGAGATAGAATTTTTTCATTATTATATAAAAGAATGTAATTTAGAAAAATTTAATTGTAAAAATTCTAACTTATCGTTATACTTACTTGAATATTTGAATATATTAAAATATTGATTTCAAGTTTAATATTTGTGAAAAACAATTCTTAACAATAGTAATCTTATATCAGTAAAAAATATAGAGAAACAATGCTTCATTTTCTGCATGCAGATATGAAAGTTTCAAAAGTGTGACTAATCCATGGATCGGGAAAGTTGCCGAATGTGTGGTAATGGGCAGCAGCGGACAACCCATTGAGGATATCATGAAGGCAACCGATGCGACAGACATTTCTCCTTTAGAATGGCTAGAAAGAACGCTGCTTTGGAAGCATATGTGTCCGACTGCACCAGACACATTACCAATACAGCCTTACTCTGAAAAGGATCCCTTTATCATAAATCATTGCCCGGATATATACTTTGTTGGTAACACAGATAAATTCGAAACAAAATTATGGAAAGGTAAGTATCATAAATTAAAATGCAATAAAATTACTTTTGTTGCATTTTAATTATGTTATCTGTTTTATTATCTGTATTAATTATCTGTTCAGTTACATGTTGAAGTATGGACATTTAAATGTTTTTATAAAACGCATAATATCTTTAAGTTTCTTTGTTTCCCATACTAGATGTAATCATTGTGATATTTCTTAATAATGCTGTTGTTTCTTAGATTTGCATTATTAATGCAATTACATTATTACTTATAGGTGAAGAAAATCAACAAGTCAGGCTAATTTGCATTCCAAAGTTTTCCTCTACACGTACCGCGGTTATAGTGGATATGGAAACGTTGGATACCGATTTTATGTGCTTTGAGATGAGCAACTGAATAAACTCACGATTTTAATCTAACTGTTGGATGCAAATAATCTAGCATTATGTAACATTTTTTATTGCCAGATTATGTCGCTGATATTAAACGATATTTTTGTACTTTTATTCTATATTATACGAAAATAAAGAGAATTTTTTATTTTGATAATAAAAAATCTCATATATAATTTATTGATTATTAATCCAATAAAAATTTAATAAGAAAGATATTTAAACTTTTACTTAAATCCAAAATTATTGTAATAAAGGATAAAATTTTGACATATACAGTTCCATTTTAGCAATAGAGAGAGATGCTGAACGCAGATAAATATACAAGCAAGTATAATTGCATTTGAGAAAATTGTATGATTAAAAGAGAAAAACGATTTCTATTGTCACCTATCTTTTATTTGCATCTCATAAAAGTGATGTACAAAATTGAAACGCATACGACTTTTAAGAATTCGTAGACATTTGCCTGGTTATAAAACTTTTAATACGAAAGAAAATACATGTAGTATCACAGACTATTCGAAAATCGCGAAATCACAGTGACACAAGACTTTCAGGATTTATATGAACGCTTAAATTAACAAGTGAATTTTTACTTCACAAATTATATCAATGATAAGAACATAACAGTCAAAATACAGAGCATCAGTATTTAACTGATTAACAGATTTTTAATATTAGCAATTCTGTTCTACATACTTTAAATTCACACACACTATGTCAAGAATATTTTCTATGATACATTAATTTACAACTTCTCTCTCTTAATTTTAATTTTTATAACTTTGTTCTTACCTGTATGACGTAATAGTAATATTTTAAGACACAACTCGGTCATATAAAAAATAAAACAAATTCTTAATGTTAAAAAAAACCTTAATGTTAAAAAAAAATCCATACTTAAACTGATTTTGACTGTTACATAAATTACGACATTTGCGAAATTAGGTGCAAGAGTTATATAATGACGAACAATATGTACAAAGATTTAAATATAAGTTTTTCACATAACAATAAAATTGTAGCATACATTTAAGCGTTGTAATATTATAACATCTTTTCGTAGAGTACGTCACACAAGCTGTGGTGTAATTCTTTCTCACAAAATAGAAAAAAGCACGTAATATTGGAAGGTACACAGTGCTACAGAACGTTTTAGTTGGCACTTTTATTTAAAGTGAAGAGCTGATTGTAACATAAATACAAGTTTTGTACAAAATCACTCAATCTGTCATGAGATTCCACTTTCTTCGGAATTAATATTATCTATTCGCAACAGAGCAGGAAAATTAGTAATCCAAGTTATACATCCTAAACGTAATATGATATTCGTACAGTTCTAATGCTTTGGCCAAAATAGCAATACTTAAAAAAAAGAGCAATAATAATTAATTAAGGTTTTTCCATTAATTTAAGCAGACTGAAGTTATAAAATTTATATTTATAATACACTTTACAGATTCGTAATACCATTAACTTAAGGTGCAATGTTACATGACCGACAGGTATATATAACAATTGACAGGTAGCTTCTGCATATAGTAACGACGACGTAGACATACTGTACTTATTAAGAGTTTTATATCCTATCTTTTAGCCGTCGGACGTATTCTCTCCTTTTCAGTGTCCCTATCGTCAGCTACTGTCCACTCGGGATCATTGGGATCCTCACCGTCCATATCGCAACAAGCAGATTCGGTCGAATCCGATTCGGGAGAATCCATATCCCCTTCCTAGAAATGTAGAAACGCGTTTTTTGATTACACACGACGGTCGCCGGAAGCGCCTACATTCAATTAATTTGTCACTTTGCAAAAAATTTTCTATTTAAGATTGCAAGCTCTCATAACGCGCGAACCAAGGAGTAAACTAGAGTCGCGTGTAAAAGATTCCATAATGCAGGAAAAATTATACAAACGATTGCGTTAACTTAACGCGTTATCTTTTTTTTTTGTTTTTTTTTCTTATCGTATTTGCTAACTCTGTGTGTATGTGTGAGATGCGTGAAAAGTAAAATTATTTTATAAAAGTAGGAAGCGTCAAGTGGCACTGCTTACCGGAGATAGCCTCGAGAGGAGCCATGAAAGTTGGCTCAAAGTGTATATTAATAGTCAGTACTAGCACCCACATACAATTTTATATAATTAAGATTTCTCACTTAGATACTCAATGTTGGAGGTATCAGCATAAGTACAGTGTACGTACATCACCCTTATCTCCGTCGTTGGAGCAAAAAGATGTCGACGAAGCTTGCCAATGTCCGTCCGGCATCACCTCCAACATCTTGTCATAAATTTCTTCAGATAATGGGAATACTCTTGGCTCATACGGCAAAATCTGTCGGAAAAATTGTCAAGTATCGTACAAAACACAATTTTGTGGATAAAGAGCTGTTTTCCGCCGCCCTTTGCCTTAGTATAAGTAATACAAGTTACCTACCTCGTTTTCATCTTCGGTAAATGCGGCTGTGGTATCGTCTTTTCCCAATCTTAAAGCGGGCATGGTGCGACGTCGTATAGAATTTTGTAAAGCAGACGATCGGTGCGAATCTAAACCCGATGGCTCTGTGTCCTGCATCTGAGACGGAGTGGCAGGTGGAGACGTGAGCGGGGACATCACATCTCCACCAAAGTCACTACTCGCGTGCGGCGACATAGGATCTGAAAGAAACATTCACACTTTTTCTATTGGGATATAATCAGTTCAATTCACTCTATTCTTATCTATTTTATTTTTAAAATGTCAAAAATGCATTGAAATATTGAATTAAACGCGACGTACCTGGCGTGTTCGCACCACTGTCTGCTCTGCTGTCGATACGACGATTACTGCGAATACGCGTCGTCTGATTTGGCATGTTGAGGTACATCATGAAACGTTTGTATTCCTCGCGTTCGCTACGCTCATGCCTCAGAGCGATCGTTTCATCCGACACGTCTTCGAACTGATAAAATCATATGATTATTGAATAACATAGTTACAAAAATATCACATTTCATTTTACTCAATTGCTTTTTATCGTATGCAAGCGATTAGCTCTCGTTATTCACTTACATCACTGTCCGGGCCAGACATGTGCATGATGCCGTTCTTTACATCCATTTTTATAGGCTCCTCGCACAATCTCCATCTTTAATAATAAGAAATGAGTCATACCATAATATGAGATACAATCGCGATGAGTTGTATAATCAAGTTAATTAAAAATTAAGCTTATTTAGAAATTTTTCAAATAAATATTGAACATCTTACTTTGGCGTTAAAATCTCCTTGTATTGTAACTTTTCAGGCCTAGTTGAAGCAGCAACACTGTAGGGGATGACTATATTGTCAATGTCATACGAATTATGTCGCAAACGCCTGAAATACGAATATTGTTATTATAATTGTTTAATATAACTTCGAAATGAAAGCTATTACAGTTGATAACGATATTATAAATAAGCAACACAATTGTCCTCTATATTTTATATTTTCAAGAGCTCGCTGTCCGAATTGTAGAAAGCTTCGCGTACAAAATCAATAACAGTGATCTCACTAATGGAAAAGTAGGTTGGCAAAAATGTAGATAGCTTACCCATGTGAATTGGAGCTTTTCTCTTTAACAGTATTTTTCTCCGACGAGGCAGTAACATGTTGCAATGGAGAAGGCACTGGGGATGAGTGTTTGCTGGAACTTGAGAGCGCGCTAATATCCTCATCATCCTCAGTTGGCAACTTGGATATTTTTTTCTTGCTTAATCCAGACACGCTTCTCTCGCTGAGTCTATTTCTTTTCCCGTTTTTCAACATTTTTCTCTTGATTCCTGCTTCAATTGGAGAGACGTCATTTTATACAGAAGAAAAATAACAACTTAACGATGATTCATTCATTTTTTTTAATAAACAAAAATGGTCAATTGTAAGATAACGAGTCGCGATACATACTTGCTGTAAGAATAGTCGAGGATGATTTCTTTAATCGCGCGGTATACTTCGTTCTGTTAGAAAGCTTTTTATTCCTTCTTTCGTTGCTATCTTTATCTTTCGCTCGGGCAACTCGCACATTACCTCTCAACATTTTCTGCTGCCACTCCACTGATTTCATAATAGCATCTAAATGAGTTCCATGTCCAATTTCTACAAGAAATAAAATATAAGTGATATGGTCAAAGAAATTTTCGCTAATCAAATCCTAACAAAATATATATATATA